AGCATGGAAATATTAGAAGGGTTGTGGGTTTTTTCCATATAAATATGAAGCTTGAAAGAAAGGCCTCCATTTTGCCGGTGCTTTCATAAGCCAGACACACAAGAGATGAAGATTATGTGTAATAATGTATTTTCTTGGTATGGTTTCTAGTGAATCTGTACAGCCAAGAAGAATAATAGGAACGTGTAGAAAGCAAAAAGAGCGTGGAATATTTCAGTGGCAGCACACCAGGAAATTTCCTTGTTCTACAAAAGGGATTCTGCAGCTCTGGCAGGCAGTGGCTCAGTGCTGGTTCCTGGCCATGTTATGTGGCCAGTTATGGTTAGCAGAGCTGGTCCAACTGTCTGCTTTTCTGTGAAACTGCCGGTGCCTTCAACTGGCAAATAGGTATTTTTCAGGAAATCTGATGCTGCCTTTTCTACCTTGATGCCCATTTTGGCTGTGATCTTCCATAAACTTAGGAAGATGTTTAGGATGGCATATGCTTGAGCTTGCAGGATGGGGATGTTCATTGTTTTGGCAGCTGTCATTAAAGTGGAATATAGTTGGCACCAAATAATATACATTTGGCTTTGAGATTCTACAGTAAAAAATAATTGAATTTTCACATATTCTTGGAATTTTATCTATCAAGAGTACATACACAGTCTTGTAAGTGTCTTGTGTTTATCCATCAAGAGTACACAGAAGTTATGAGTACATAGTTTCATAGTTAAATAAGGTTCTTTTTGACAGTGAAGAGAAGGCAGTTTCTGAAATTAGGTTTCAGTCCAAAGCTGAAAAAGAAAAATCTTGGGGATTGTCTAGCTCATGTTGGCACTTTAGCTGTAGATAATTCAGCATATGCAGAATTTCTTGTTTTAGGTTTTGAATGCAATACCAAAGACCTGTGAAAAAATACAATTTAGAAAGTTGGGCTTGATTAAAGTTAGAAGTCAGTGAGTGTGTCATTCACACTCTTGAAAGATTGAGGCAGCAGGGAGATGGAAGTGCATTTCTTCCTTCTTCCCACCCTGTACTGCAAACCTTATGGGATTTGTAAATGTTGATGTTTAAATCATATACGTCTAAACATATGTTATTTTTTCATGTGTATGAGTGAATTTATTCTTTATACATAAAGTGCAGAGTTTCTGAAGTGAAAAATAATGCTTTATTTTTAGAAAATCTATGGCTATAAATTCATTTCCTTAGCAACTTTCCATCAAACAAACAGCCTGCTCCTCCTCATTCCCAACAAAAACAAACCTAAATTAGCTTAATAATTGAGGCAGTTTTCCCATGAAAAATGGGTTCCACATCTCTGCCACAAGCGTTTGTAATCTGCCAGGTCACTGAAAAAAGTCTGCTTGCATAAAACACTAAAGGACATATTTGGTGATATTTTTCCTCTGCAATTGTTACTTTTCAATTTTATAGAGTAAGAATTTGGGTCTCTTGTACTCTGTCATGGCTGTTTATTCACTTTATTTGGTTGTCTCTGTGAATTCCACAGTATAATAAACTGGTGTGTGTAATTACATTGAGCATAGCTATCCCACCAGGAGAGGCAAAGGAGACAAAACTGGCTAGCAGCTTTAGGATTCAGCACAAAGTGAAACAAAAATATTGCTGGTTTGAGCAAGTTTTTACACCTAAACTCATTTTGATTTAATGCTTCTTCAAAATATAGCCCTTTGTAGCACAGGATGGTGCCAGTTGTGCTTTTATGTAAGTTTATATGGCTGAACATGAACAAATCCTGTACAAATAGAGCAGGGGAAAAAAGTTGCTAAGTATCCTGCAGGAAGTAAGTATCGAGTTTACTGATAGTCCTGTTGACTGTAGCCATGGGCAGTTCAGCCTAAGTCATGTCAGCCAAGAGCTGACCACTGAGAAATGAAATCTTTGCTCTCTATTTTAGAAGGAAACAGGACTGAGAACATGCGACTAATCTTCCCTTTTCCATCTGTTTCCATATACCTGTTAGAAGATAATTGTTCCAGCTCTGATTTTCCATTATGCTGAAATCCACCAGGCTGCCCTTGCTGTAACACAATGTATTTCATGTGTTGTCTTCATATTGATGATTCTTGTTACAAAAGTACAGTAGTGAATATAAACATATCTGTGTTAATTTTAAGGTCTGCTAGGAACACATGACAAAGGGATCAAATCTGGAGAGAAAAAGGGTGGATGTTTTAATGTCAGAAATTTTATTTTTGGCATTTGAAAATGATCCCCCTAGGTTTGTTTTTTCCAAATCAGAAGCTAATGCATCCTCTCTTCCTCTGTTCCAAATGCCACACCTTCCAGTCATTACAGCCGTGTCCCTTTCACTCAGGATTCTGATATGGCTTGTAAGCATTGTGTATACAAAAAAGTAGAGAACTGGGACCCAAAGTTTGATTGCTGCCTCTTTAGGCAATTTAAATCACAGTTAAAGAGTTTCTGCTGTGTATGTCCTAGAGGTTTTAAGTATTAAGTGCAAAACCAGTACTTTACTAATTGTATGATAAAAATTTGATTTCACCTGCTTTCAGCCAAGAGAGAATACTGCAATCTAGTCTGCCTAAAAATAAGCCATAACACCTCCCTCTGTAACTTCCCCATCATGTCTGTGGCTTCCGTTCGAGCTACAAATTGTTCAGAAATGCGAAGTCTCAGTTCAGAAACTGTAGAGTTGAGGAATCTTGTAAATCAAATATTCCAGCAGCTTCTTAGTTTCACTTAGGAAATGTGTGCTATTTTTTCATTAGTCTGAATAAAATGTTACTGTTTTTTGCATAGTTATAATTCTCTTAAATGGCTGTGTTTTGAAAATTGGATGTACTTGTTTGGGAGGGGAAAAAAGTCTTCAGAGCTCTGTTTCTTTATTGAAGTTCTGCTCTGTATTTTGGGGAGTTGATCTAACATCTCACCAAGTCAGCAATTCCTGAGTTGTTTTGTGTCTTTTGTCAGTGGGGATAGTTAAACACAGTCATGATTCTGTTTTTCTTAGATTCTGCTTTCAGGCTTTTTTTATTATACATTCCTTATAATAATTTTTAAGCAGTAAATATAATTGCTGCAGCAAAGCAGAATATCACAGTTTCAGTAGAAGTTATTTAAATTTCAGGAGTTCTTTAAAAATGTTGTATTCTCACATATTTTGAAATTTACACAAGCTTTTCTTTGTTAGGTTGGATGTGTGAGATCTGCTTGTCTGCTTGAGCTCCTTCATGCGTTTCCAGGGTATTTCCACACAAATACACTTAATCAGCTTTTAGAAGGAGTCTGTTCTGTAACAGGGACTCCCAAGTGAGCCACAGCTTTTAAGTCAAAAGAAAGAGAAGCTTTGAAAAAATTATCAGGTCTTTGAATTGGAAAGAGAGGATATCGGGTGGAATAGTTTAGGAAAAGTTCCTGTCCTTTTTCCGTACTGGTTCACGTCTCTAGTTTAGACTGAACATTGTATTGCAAGGGGATTCAATAAGTTACTATTAGCTATGTGCTCTCTTCCAGTGCTTTCTTCACAGGCTTTTGGGCTTGTGAAGTCCCTTGATGCAAATCCCCAGTACCTCTTTTTTCTTGTATGTAGTCAGGGAGAGATTGGATTGGTGGCAGTAATAAAGATGAGGGTCTAAGTCATGAGTTGTGAGAGAAAGCACATAGCTTGCCTTCCCAATTGTCCTTTTTGAACTATATATTGATTTAGATAATAACTAAGGTACTTGAGTTTTTTAATTTTATGTTTCTTCTAGAGTGCTTGGAAAATGCAGTTAGGGTCAACTTGTCAGGACAATATGTTTTAAGAATTGAAAGAATAAATTGAGAAAAGCAGTCTCTTAAATAGTATTTGAAGTTTGTTCCTGTTACTTAGATGTTACAGCTTTGTTTTAGGAAGATGATGAAAATGTTAGTTCTTGAATATGTTTGTAAATTGAGACAATCAACCAGCTTCTTTTCACGCTAGGTGTCAGTGTTAACATACCTGTTCTGTAATCTCAGGTGTAGTCATTCTGGTGTCCTTGTCGGTACACCTGTGTTTAATTCTCAGTTACAATTTATGGTCAAAAGGTCAAGACAGTCATGTCAAGTAATGATTGGCATGTTGACCCTTAATGGTCTGTAAATATTTATCTTGTCAAAACCCTTATCTTTTTGCCCTCTATCACACCAAATAAACCCAGAAGAATCAGCTTTGTCCTTGTTGAAGCATCTGCTACAAGCTTTCCACTACCCAGATTTCTCTTTCATCTTAGTTTTGAACAACATGGCCTTGAAAACCTGAAAGATAGTAGATGGATAATAACTGCATCATTCAAATTTAGGTCCACTGGGGTCATCACAGTTTGGTTTTCATCCTCTCAAACTGTAAATAATTAGCTGACTAGCAGTAATTCATGAGCTGTCTCGTAAGGTCATTTGTTAATGTGTTACTTGACCATATTGTGAGACTATTCAAAAGCATGTGGCTATTTGCCTTCTTTCTTTTGGTTTACAAAAATTTTTTTAAGTTGCTTGTGTTTCATCTGGGGCTTTGTAATGCTGACCATAATATAAATATCCTGGTGGTTGAAACTGATCTTGTGTATGAGGAAGTAGAGTCGCTGCTTTCTGCCTGCAGCTATAACAGTGACCACAGCCCATCTTCCTGGATAAAAAGCCTCAGTGAAGGTATTGTGGTTAGTAATAATAAATAGTGTGACACGATGAGCAGTGGAATAAACACTGTTCTTTTTATCTCTTTGACTTCTGTAGAACCTGTTATTCTGTTCTGTTACTCTATAAATTAACTATTGGTTATTTACATTCTTTTTAGTGTATTTTTCTTTCAGGGTTTAGCTGTCAGTAGATTTGTTACACTGTCCTCTCATCTTTTCAATAACACCTCCAAGTGTCCAGAAGCAATTCCTTCGATATCAAGAGAGGAGGAGCTCCCAAATTTGTTATTTTGGAGACCTTGAACTAAAAGGAGGCAGCAGTTGGGTTTGAGGCCTAAGGTTTTGCTGAAATCTAAGCACAAATGTTTTTCAGGCAACTTAAAAGGTTTATTGAAAGAGTACATGTACCTCAAACGTATTTATTGATGTTGTTTTTTCATAATGAGAAGTAGTATACTTCTAAAATAATGTGTTCAGTTCCTGTAAGAGACTCAGGCAGTGGTGGGGGTGCTCAGCAGCTTGGCTTGGGCTGTGTTGCTGTAGCTGAGGAACTTGCTGGCCACAGAGACCAGCAGAGCGCAGGTGAGAATGTTGTAGAGATGCACCCTGTTTGGAGTTTATGTATGTACTAATTAACGTTTTTGGACATATAACAAAGGGAAGTATTTCCCATATGATTAGAAAAACCGTGTATTTTTTGCAGAGTTTCAGAGGCAACACAGCAGTTTGATTATGTAATTTACCTTTTGTTTTTGTGCATAGCTGTAACACAACAAACACATTTTTCCAGGAGTAGTAAAGAGTAGCTACAGTTTTCTTCTTTTTTTTTTTTTTTTAAATTTTAGAAAGCTGCACAGATGCAGAAGTTGTTGCTGCTGTTGATGTGAACACTCTTGCCAATGATGTTTATAAGCACAACTTTCCCAGCACGCCATTATGGGCAAAGACTATTGAGGTGAGTAATTAATGTGTTTTTTACTGTAGTCTGACATTTGTAGGTATAACTTGTCTTCACTATCCTTATTAGTAACAAGAGAAACAAAAATATTTGTGTTGTTATGAATAAAGCAGCGTTACAATAACTGATTACTTGTGTTGTGGTTGCTTGTTGAAGTTAGAGGGATATTCACACTGCAGTCTTTTCCTTGAAGTCTTCTCTGCTGCATCAAGAAAGGTTACATAAATGTCAAGAGGAATGCTTACCACTAATAAAGGAATGTCAAAAATCATATTTTTAGATTTAAAAAAATATTTTCATGTACTTTGAAAGAATTTAATTAAATTATTTGGAGACATGCCTTTGTTTTGTAGTTATAGTTGAGCTCAGAAAAACACAAGAGAATATACTGGATGTAAAAGTCTTGATTTTTTTTTTAATGGACTCAATAGATCAAATGTTTTAGGAATTCCGTCCCTTTTCAAATTATTTGAAGAAGAAGTAGGTAAAATTGGATTCTGTTTAAATAAATGAGGGGCAAACTAGGCATATAATTTTGTCTAGATTTAATTAGAAATTACTGTATCCTTCTTAACCTTCTTTTATGGCTTTACAATATGACAGTAGAAGAAAGATACTGTGTCTGTTTTAAGACACCAGCTTAAGTAAGAGTTAAGTAGGTGGCTAAAGGTTAAATGCTTATTCAGCACCCAATAATAACAGGCTAAATGATAGTTTACAGTTTTATAATGGAAAAAGAAGAATGCTTACCTGTGTCTGCTTATAGTAGACAAGAGCGGATTATTACAGTCAGTAAGAGCTTCTTCAAATTTATTGTAAAAAAAAATATCAGTTTTTGTCTAGTTTCTAAGGGTAGTTATGGTATATTTGGTATATAGATATCCTCAAAATATGTAAGGCAGTGATTTCTTTGTCCAGTTCTTAGTTATTTGATAATCTTCCTTCTTCTGTCCTTATAGCCCCTTAATATATTGTCCTTTTAGTGTTGGTTAAAATTTAGTCTAGAGGAGCTTCTACCTATGTAGTTAATTCATACCATAGACCTAATACTTTCTTTTCTCAAGAGACGTATTTTTGCAGAGTAGACCTTTCAGCCATATAATATCTTTAAGGAATTTTTACCATGCAAAAACTAAAATGAAGTTAACTCTATAGGATGCATTGCTACTGAGCTCCTAAAAGTTAAAACCCATAGTTTGGACCTCTAAAAATGATCATGTTCACACTTGAGCTGCTTTGCTTTTCAGATATTTTTTCTTTCGAGAAGATCTGATATTTTTTCACGTATTTTGAATATGTGAACACTGGTTTTGATGTACAAAGACTTCATATCTGAATAATGATATTTTATTTGGGGAGAAATAACAGGTCAGTACTTACTGATAGAACTCCTACACACCTTTTCTGAAAGAATGAGTAGATAAAACCTTCAAGATCATGTATAGATGCTAACATTGTTAGTGTTTTGTTTCGTATTCAAAGCAATGAATCCATATTTGCATTGTATGGTTTGCCAAGATAGAAAAGAATTTGAAATTATTAGGTCAAATGGGAGATTAGGTATTTTTTTGCTAGATGAAGCACATAGTGGAAGTAAGCAGGGTAGTTTGATCTGAAAGATGACTTATGAGTTTCATACAGTTTTGAACACTCAACATTCTTCTATTTTTTTCCTTTTTCAGGGCATAACACTGAAAGAATTTGACAGATTATCTTTTGATATGATTTTGATGAGTCCTCCCTGTCAGCCATTTACAAGGTAGATATAGCACACTTGGAAAAAAAGTGGTTATTGCAATATATAATGTCAAAGGAGTTAACAAAATAGAGTGAGATGGAACAGCTAGCAGCTGTGGGTTCAAAATATGGTTTAAATTTAGGAATTAAAATCTTAGATTGTGAAAGGAACTTGCTAAATAACTATTTATTTCTGTAAGAACATAATATGTGTTGTAACAAATTGCCTCCATTGCTTTTATTTGATGATCCTGTCTCCTTTAGAGAGGGCTGTATTAGTTTTCAAGGGTGACACTATGTGTGGTTTATCTCTGTATCTTCCTGAGCAAAAATGTTGTAGCATTGATGTTTACTGAAGTAAAAGAAATGCTGCAAATAGCATCCTAATTATTGATCACATTTCTTGTAATAGGTAGATGTTAATTCAGTTTAAATTATGTAAGCTTCTTACAGCACCTATTTTGTGTGCTGTCCAGTTCCTCTAATAGTGCAATTTGAAGATTTTGCTGTTTAGGAGTGCTGGCTCTCCTTTTAGGTATCAATCTAATATTTTCCTGGGGCAAATCCAGGAGGAGGATTGGAATTCCTCATTCTGCCAGAGATTTAAGAATGTAATCTGGTTTTATTTGTACTTTGAAAATTGCACATGCACACAAATAGTTTATTCTAAGGAATATTTCTATTTTAGCCAAGACCAGAAGGATAATGGCTTTGAAATTATTTTGTGGATGATATAGAGAAATATGTTGCTGATTAAGAACTGAGTTTACTGAGATGTTATTTGTCCTATTAGTTTGTAATTCATATCGTTTGTCAGCAGTGACCAGTGGAGATGAGATTCTGGTAAGCACACTCATGCAATGTAGTAGCTTCATGGAAAAGATAGTGATGAAACTGCTTATGTAAGAAAGTATATCTCAGAGAATGCTCTAAGATTGAAAAGAAATCCCTCTAAAGTGTTGCTGATCTATAAAAATTTATTAATGCAAACCCATGATGCATATAGGAATCATTTCTTCAGATTTTTTTATAATATGGTGAAACCCAAAATCTGTGTGTGACTGATTAATTTAGAGACATGCTAAAGCTCTTCTACAAAGGTTTTATTCTTTTTTTAAGAGCTAATACAAGTATAAGCTAGGGAAGGGCACGTCTGGAATTGTTATCATTTTTGTAGCCTACGTAATCTGTCTAGTTTAATGTTAGAAAATTGGTTACAAAGTTATTCACATGGAGCTCAATCCTGAAAAATGGTGAGCACTCAGGCTTTAATTCATAGACATAATTTAATATATTCACTGCAAAATGGCAGGGTATTCCCAGAAACCCAGTGGGGGTTTTTTGTTCTTTCAGAGCCAAGTATGTTCAAAGGGTTTGCTGGACAAGACCAGAATGCTAAACACTTTGCAGACTGGGGAGTGGATTTCATTACTGAGCGCTTCAATTTGAACTTCTCTGTGAGCTGATGGATTCCAGGGCAGGCTTTCTTTCCTGAGAGTATCTCTTAGGACACTGCCCCGGTGAGCACGTCCTCATGTCTGCACATGATGCTTTTTCGGAATCCCCTTTTGAAACTCAAAGCAAAAAGTGTCAGCATTCTGTCTCAGATGTCAGTCTGCTCCAAGTAATATACAGGTGTTTCTTTATTCTCTCTTAGAATTGGCCTGCAAGGTGATGTATCAGATCCACGGACAAAGAGCTTTCTCTATATCCTTGATATTCTACCAAGGTATAAATGAACTTCTGCTCTATTCTAAAGCCTTAGTTGTAACTAAGTAGGTCTATATATCAGTGAGACAGGCCATCTGTAATATTTGACAGGGATACTACTAGTACTGTGTTGTATTCCTTGTTTTCACATGATCATATGTAACTTAAAAATACTTGTATTTCACTAATGCCATAATCACCTCTTAGTTGCTGTATATGTTTTCATTCTCTTGATTACTTTTTATTGTGTGTCTGTTTAAAGTGTGGCTATATCATAAATGCAAAAATTGAGCTTTTTCAGTTCATCGTCAAATTTGTGTTGATTTTATGTAGAAGCAGGAGTAGGTAATACAATAGTTTGCCAATTGGCCTCAAGGAAACATGAAAATTGTTTGAAATACCAGATTAAAAAAGCTTAGATTCAACATTTAGTCATCTTTTGAAGAGGCAACATTTATTTGAAAGTTTGTTTGAATGTGTTCCTGACTGCACAATGTGGTGCATCTTCCACCCCCTCCCATTCCTTCCTAAAGTCTCTGTTCTGTGTTTTTGGTGATGCTTCTAGATATCGTGGAGCAGATTGTGTATTTTTGGTTTGTAGTACAAGCTCTTGTTTGAGTAGTAATAGTAAAAATTCAAATAGCACTGCACAGTCTGAACGACGTCCTTGTCTTTGTATTTATCTGTCATGTTATGTCTGGTCAGATCCCAGTTCCTAATAAAATAGCCATAATTATTTGTATAACATATGCCTTAAATTCTGAAACAGTAAATGCAAGCAAAGTGGTTTGAGAGTGTTAAAAATCAGCTCCACGTAATGCATGTAGTCTTTTTGGGGAAGAGATGCGTAACACAGTAATAACTCTTCCTGGGGAAGGAGAGCAGGCAGTTGTTTAGGGAGATTATCCAGCAGAAATCAGTGCTTCTGGATTGAGATGTCTAGTGGGCACCAATTGTCAGGAGCCTGGGGATTTGCATCAGTTACAGTCCACCAGACACTTACCATTCCTGGCAATCCTGCTTCTGCTGGGACAGCTGTTCTCTGTATATTCCTCTATTGGTTAATCTTTTTCTCAGGATTGGAGGAGGACAAAGGGATGTTTGCTCTCTCTTTTTCTTTTTTCTTTTTCTTTTTTTTCGTGAGTGCTTTCAGCACAGAAGGAAACCAGTACCAAACAACCTTTCTTTCAAACTGCTGTTAACACTGGGAAAAAAGGGTCTTCATCCTTCACCCAGAAACTTTTTGCAGCCAAAAACATTAGGTGGAACTGTCTTTGCCCTTGTCATCAGCAGATAGAGAACACAGACACGGAACAGCTGAGTGGCTTGCCAGGGATTACCTAGGAAATCTGTGGCAGAGAACACAGAACACAATATAGATTCTGTAGCCCAGTAAGTTAGACAATTAATAGGTAAAAAAAAATGGTTATTACTACTCTCCCTGCTTTTGGCAGAGACACAAAAATAGGGAGAGAACATGGGTTTTTCAGAAGTTGCAAAGGATGCCTTTTGTGGAACAAGGAATGTAACTCAGGTCCCCAGAAATTTCAAAACAATGAAAACCAGCAGGTAGTGTGTAAATTTCTCATTTGTTGAAATAGGAGTACCTTCTCTTAAGGCAATCCTGACCTCAGGATTCCTTTCCATTAAACTGAGACACATTTAAGCAGCTGGCTGCTTTTAGAAACTGTTGTGCATTAATGTGGAAATATTGCTGCCTGGTTGTTGTGGGCTTAGCTGGGTAAAGGGCAGAAGCATTTCCGTCTCAAAACCAAAGCTTTAGACACTACAGGACTTCTGTTTTTCGTCATGACGATGCACAGGATCTGGGCTTGGCTGTGACTGTGTTATCTCAACACTCCATGAGACACTGCTCCTGTCACTTATCTCCCTTGGGCAGGTTGTTTCTGGAGGCAGCACTTAATGTAAGTAGTCTGTAGTATGTTCAAAATGGTGGCTTTTGCAGTTTCTCAATTCCAGTTTTATGTTTTAATGAGATAGCATTTGGGGTTTTTTTTTGAATATAATATGTTTGCCAGACATTGAGTGTGGAGTATTACAGCCCAAAAAAGGGAAATTCTTAATATAGGAATTATCACTTTACATTCTAAATTGGTATGGCATGTGTGCACTTTATGGAAACTGTAAAATAACTTCTCATCCCATGGATGTTCTTACCTTTTTTTCACCCTTTTATAATGAAATGTCGCTGAAATGAGCCTGAAAGGTAGCCTGGGAAGACAAATACTAGAGATATGGAAAGGAGAATTTCAGGATCTGGAAAGACCTGGGAAATCCTTGGAGCACCCAGCCATCAAACAAAGTCTGACCCAAGTGGTCCAGATAACGTGTTTCTTGTTTATCATGTCCAAGCCATAACCGGAGAAATCCAGTGCTAAGACATCAAAGTGCTGCTTTTACAGAGACATTTGTAACATTAATACCTGCCAAGTACTTAACACTTACTCTTTGTATAGTGATTAACTTGTCTTGTGATCTGTTGATCCTGTATGAGCTCTTGCATTTCAGGCTATGCTCTGGATTCATTACTGTAAAAAGAAGTTTCCTAGTAGGTGATGATGAGGATGAGTAAACATACCAGCAGATATATTCTCCGTTCCTCTGCAAGGAATTTGGCTGCTGCTGCTTTTTTCAGTTTAGTATTATTTTTTTCACTACTATTTTTAGTATTTTTAAATTTGGCACAGTATCTTGTACATTTTCCAGTTTCTTGTGAGATGCATTGATTCTTTTATTTCTTCATATGAATGTCAATAATTGGTGGTAGTAAAGAATGTGCTAAAGCAAATTCTGCTGTGATTTGGAGCAGTGGAAGTTCAAAGTCACTTATTGACTTAAATAATCATGGAGCTGCTGTCTGGGAGCATAAGTATCCTGTTTCTATATGCTGCTCTGAGATCTCAGTGTGTGACAGATATTGTGTATCTACAGTAGCCTTACCAGAGAGTTAATCAGTGCCACAGAATGTTCCCAGAGACTTGAATCTGAATCATCTATGCTTCTGAATTGTTGGAATGGTCCCTGGCACAGTTTGGGCATGTTCATTTCTCCAGAGATTTAACGTGCTGTTTTTGGAATGTGCCTATTTCCAGACCTTTGCACTGATCTTGCTAAATCTCAGATGCCTTCTTCCCTTCCCCCCATCAAAATGGAAAAGTTAAGTATAGAAAATTAAGATTATCTGCAGTTCGAGCTCTAAACATGTTATATTTCTTAGATCAGTTAGATGAACACTGGTTCTGATGTGTTTTCACTAAAGGTGATGTGACATTTTGGCATTGATTGCAGATATAAGCACTTGAAAACAGAAGTTTTATGGCTAAATAGGGATCTTTTTCCCCCCAACAATTATCTTTCCTATTACAAGCTGTTGAATAACAATAATTGCGCTTTAGGAAATGAACAGTGGTAAGCATTTTCAAAAGTATGTGCATGGAGTGCAGCTGTTTATCTAAACATAGGTAGGGTTTGTTGTTTTTACCAGCAGTCCATGTTTTTAATTCACTTGAGAATGATTTGAGGTACATTTTTTAAGGATGGTAAACTTCACCAGCCAACATGATGTGGAAATACTTTGATCTTTCTGATAGCTGAACAAATCCGTGGATGAATATGATGTACTTTACATCTTGTTACTCTGATTTTCTGATTTGCTTTTCTTTCTTCCTAGGCTTCAAAAGCTTCCAAAATACCTACTTTTAGAAAATGTTAAAGGATTTGAATCCTCTTCTGCAAGGTAAAGTCTAATTAATTTATGCAGGTTTTAGTTTAATAGTAATAAAGGATATTTTCCTTTAGTAATAAAGGATATTTTCTTTAGCAGGGGGAGGTGGGATTTTTATTTCCTAGAATTTGACTTAACAAAATAGAGTGATATGGGACAGGTAACAGCTATGACTTAAAAATATGGTTTAAATTTAGGAATTAAAATCTTAGGTTGTGAAAGGAACTTGCTAAATAACTATTTATTTCTCTAAGCAGATAAAATACATTGTAACAAGTTGACTCCAGTGATTTCGATGATCCTGTCTCCTTTAGAAGACAGGACCCTTTAGAAAGGGTCACACTAGTTTTCGAAGAAAAATAACATCAGCACTCAGAGATTTTAGGGTTTTATTCATGGCAGAAGCCCATGGTATCTTGTGTTAAAATCACAGTACAGTCTAGGGGCTTTCTTGAGTATCTCTGGTGATAGTAGGTTATCCCTGGTTCAGGGCTGCCAGCAAATGGTCCGCAGATACAGTATGAAGACTGTGTATAGTCTTGGTCTGACATGTGGAAGAGGAAAGGTGTCATTATCTAATTACCTAGTGACAGCAGGAGCAGTCTCCTCTCTTGTGGCCAAAGCAGGAGACAGGGGATTGCAGTCTTCCCTCTCAGTTCTTTCTGGAATAGAGTATGTTCTTTCTGTAGCATGCTCCTTAACCCTGGATATCATGCTCCTTAATGAGTTTGGCAGGCAGCTGGGAGTCATGCTCACCTTTCTCATTGTTTAAGTGTTCATGGTTCTCTGCTCTACTCCCTGTGATTCCCTAGGCTATGCCTCGCTGGCCAGTGCTTGGAGCAAGCTGTAGTTCAGAAAACTACCCAGTTAGAATGCTTGCTTTCTCTTATGGCACTTGGGATGCAGTATTACAAACAGTGCCAGGTGCGGGTCAAAGCTCCAGCCTGTTGTGTAGTTCCAGCCCAGTGCATCTCCATGTAATAGAAAAGACAAGTATTTTTAAAATTATTTCCATTACAGTGTTTTTCCATAGTTTATAAAGTACAGTCCTACCTTGCTTTTATTATCAAAGCTGCCAGTTTTTGTCATCCCTTGAGTTAGCCTTTTCATTAGGCTTAGCCGTTGCTGTGTATGTGAGCACAGGGAAGTAGTGAGCTATTAGTAATAGTTTTAATCTCCTGTTTTATGATTCCCAATAGAGAGGATTTCTTGCCCTCTGATTACTTTCCTTGCTGACACACTCTCCTAGAGATGGGTTGATTTTTGAAGGGGCATATGCACCATAGTAGGAGTGAGATGCCTGTGAATGTGTAATAGTCACTAACACTGAACTTTTTATGTTGTCTCTGAAGTTCAGAAATGAATGGCATTGTATCTGTAATTTGCTATCCCAGTTCCTTCAGTGAATGCCTTGGTACATATGATGTTGCATTTAGTGTGTTTTTATTTGGGATAAATAAAGGGCCTAAGGGTTGTGTGACAGGAGTAATTGATTTTTGATTCTTTTCACTGCCAGAAATGAACTTTTGCGAACACTTGCAACATGTGGATTTCAATACCAAGAATTTCTCTTGTCTCCAACCTGTGTGAGTATTAAAATTGCTATAATATTGTTTACCTGTTCAAACTTCACTGAGTCCAAGAACGTTTGAAAATGATCTTTTGTATTAGAAGGGAGAGGCATGCCCAAAGCTGAGGGTACTCTTGAATTAGAAAACTATCTGAACATGACTTCTGATTCTCATACTGGCATAATCCTATTACTGTTTGTGTTCAGATCCTAGTCCTTTGCTGCTATTTGATATTTTTAAGAAGGCATGAATTTACACTGTAACCAGGAAGGTGGTTTTCCCTGTGGGAGCCTCATTGCTTTAGAAGTGCTGTGCCTATGAATATCACAGCACAGAAACTGTGACCGTTACTTGTGGGAGGAGGAGCTTTGTTTCCATGTTTCCCTGGCAACTGAAAAAAAGAGTTTGAGAGAGATTTCAGGTTGTGCAAGACTAACTGGAATCAGTAAAGTACCGTAAATATTTGAGAGAAGCTAATGGAGCGTAGCTTGAAAACCAGTTGTGGTGGATTTATTGCGTTGTTAGATGTCTTACAATTCCTTGTCCAGAAATGCAAAGAGAGACTCTTCTGCTTTTAATAGAAGACAGGTAGTACCTGTCCCAAGAAATCGTGATGCATGTAATTTTTCTTCTTACATCACATAAAATTTTGTTTGCATTCCTGTTCATTTACAGAGAAAGTCAAAACTGTGAGGTACAGGGAATTATTGCCTGCTTAGTTCCTTGGAAATACCTGGGTACGGAAGTTACAAGTGTTTAGATATTATTAGCTAGTACTGATATGTCTGAAGTCACAAATATATTAGTATGTCATAATTCTGTTATTGTATATAATGGTAGATAACTTGTATGGTGGTATAGACCACTTTTTCTTTATCACATGAACTAAAGGCTTGTGAATTTTGCTTACAGCTTGGCATTCCCAATTCTAGACTGCGATATTTTCTAATTGCAAAGCTTCACCATGAACCATTTTCCTTTCAAGCTCCTGGTCAGGTGAGTGTTAGTTTAATTTGCTTCATTTAATTAAGATTGAGGGTTAAATTTTCAGTTTAATGGTGTGTGCTGATGAATGGACAAGAGAGATCAGTAATACCAACAGAAAAGTTTAATTCTGTCTCTTTTTTTTAGCCTGGATACTGAGTTTTTTAAGGACTGATGTGCATGCCTGTGATTGAGATGGCTTTAAACAGCTGGGGGACTGTGGCTGATAGTGGGTAGAAAACAGGTCATTCTGCTCCATGTTTCACACCCTGGGAAAGGTCTTTTTGCAAAGGCAATTATTTGCGGTTGTTCCTGATATCATTGCTGATAGGTCAGCAAATCTTGATGCAACTGTTTTTTGGAATCTTAATGAAAATAACATCAAAAGGTTACTTGCTTTATTCTGAGTATCTCTGAAAGAATTCTTACCACAGGATCGGCTGCCAAGTTGTTTATTAAATACAGTTATTTTTTTGGTCACAATTTCTTCTTAGATATTGACAAGATTCCCAGATCAGTATCCAGAAGACTTACACAAGGACAAAGTTGCTGACAAAGTGGGTGAAACTAGTTCTTCCTTGTGTTCTGAAGAGAAGAATCTGGATCCAAACATTGGTCCAGATTGCAGCAGCAAGAAGAGTTTACCAAAAAGGACCTTTCTTTTTAAGCTTGAAACAGTAGAAGAAATGGAAAGGAAACATGATCAGGATAATGACTGCTCTGTTCAAATGTTAAAAGATTTCTTGGAAGAGGAAAATGAAGAAATGAGTCGGTATTTTTTACCACCAAAGTCCTTATTGCGCTATGCTTTCTTGCTAGACATTGTTAAACCCACCTGCCGGAGATCCACGTGCTTTACAAAAGGGTAAGTTGCAAAGAAAATGTTTTGCTGAATCACATCCTGAAATTTTAAGTGTAATTTTGCTTGTGTCCTGTAAAGACACAGAGATATGTTTCATAAAAAAACCCTAAGCCTCTGAAAGAAATCCCCTTACATAGTGTGCTTCCTGGTCCAGTGGAATGCCAGCATGAGAATCTCTCTGGCAGAACGTTATGTGCCCACTCCAAAAAGACTTTCACAAAAAACAGTTGCCATTTGTTGTTGACCTTCACAGCAGCTTAATTACCCCTGCGGAAATATGGTTCCAGTAGACTGGTATAGTGCTGATTCATTAATGAATTTCTTTATATTGCTCAGTGAAGTTACAGAGTGTCAGGCATGACAGATCCATTACTCATTAAATCTGTCTCTGCTGTACATTTTATTGATTTCTTGGATTTTTCAGCTGTGTAGATCAGAATAACTGTGGATTGGCCATATGTCATGAAACCAGTTAGATTGTTGCATTATAAATCATATTTGATGGAGCAGAACATTAGTGCTTTTCTGTCTGGTAGTTTTCTAATTTGTACCTTGCAATTTTGAGTTTGACTGCTTGAAGTTGGTGAGTGTTCTGAAACTCCGTGTACAACTGGTCAGGAGCTTTTCCGCTGAATGCATTTATATTGAAAAATGCCAGTTGGAGCCAGGAAATTTGTGGGAAAAATATTGTTTGTCAATATTGCTAATATTGACAAATTTTTCTAATTAGATTGGGTTTTTTTAATTCTCAGAATGTATCAATAAAATGGCTTAGATGATCAGTTAATGCCAATTGTAACTTTTTTTTTACTAGTTGAAATTAGACTGCCAGATTGACAGTCTTCCTGCAGATTTTGTGATTTTTAACTTTTTGACAAAAAAAAAAAAGAAAAACAATTTCAAAAGTTCAAAATCTGTACAACAGGAAAGCCCTTCTTCTAGCTTTCATTGACATATATGTGCCTTCTTTTCTGCCTTTACTCTTTTGAGCTGTGGAGGAGTCAGAGTCTTGTGAGATCTGTTTCTTAACTAGAATAATCAAACAAAAACCTTAGGCCAGAATGGTCTCTCACGTATCCCATGTATGCCTTGAACGTCATCAAAACTAAATTGGTCACTTGTGGTTTCACTAGAATATGTCGTGGTAGTTTGTGGTCAAGGTTATCAAAATCCCACTTAAGGGGGCTCCTGAGTAGTTAATATGAAGTTTGTGTGCATAGTAGTGGGAAATCTGATAGAGAACATGACTGTTGCCTTTCTGCTGCTGTGGAAGGAGACAGGCCAGGCAGTTGTGGTGGTAGGTCTTGGCTCAAAATGTAGGAATCTGGTTTTCTGTCTTTGTTCCCTTTTTTAAGAGCCTTTGGGAAGAAAGGTTGCTAACATGGTTCTCAATTTGATTATCTCATTTACAGCTCTGCATTAAGAGAATGATTATAATTAGATCTCAAGCTTCACTTTCTGAGGCCAAGAATAGGTCCCTGCTGTATCTGTTCCAGGAGTTCTGGTTTTATGTTTCTCTGAAGCATGGGATTTAGGAAACAGGCCCCTGAATGGAGCCTACACTCCAGGTAGTACAGAGATTCCCTCTGCTGTTATGCCTGTCTGATGTCTTTCTTCTAAGTCACTGACCATCAGCTTTGAGTATGGGAGAAGAGTTTCCTTCGTTTCCGTTTGGTTTTCAGATACTTCCAGCAAGCTTTGTGTGTTGGGAATAATCTGGGTATACCTTCTCCAGGGACCTCAAATTCTGTAGTTTTATCAGTGTTTTTTGCCTTTCTGCCTTTGACATACCAGTTTTGTCTCCTGAAAGGCTTTAATGCTGTATAGGGCAGAATGTAATGGTTTGGGATGCATGAGAGATCAAGCAGGTAATTCTATGTTGCCTTCTAACATTAGACTTCTAGGCACTTGGGAGGGGATTGCAAAGCTCCTTGAGACTACAAACACTATGGTTTCTCTGAGGAGTTTGTGGTGACTGAAGTTATGGGAGGAAATTATCCATTTTAAAGGACAGAGGAAGTGAAAACTGCTTCTTTAGATATAATAATTCTGGACATACTTCAAATTCTTGATATGCTGTTGACAAGAGAAGGAATACCTTCCAAAATAGTGTAAATACCAATTACAGAAATGCTTTCTCACTTTGTGGAAATTACTTTTTGTCAGTCATAGTGTAGGATACAATATACCCACAAATAATATATGTATGAAATTAAAAGATTTTTTTTTTCAAAGCTTACAAAAATAAAGGGGGGGGGAATCTTGGATCAGATGAAAATTGAAGACTGTAATTTCTTGAGCCAACTTCTTTCATAGTAACTGGTAATGAGATGTCAGAAAATCAATGCATCATTTTTTACTGTGATAAAAATTAATTATGTTCTGGGTCTAAGGTAGGAATATTATTTTTTTTGGAGTCAGCAGCTGGAATAATAATTAATAACAATCCAGCTATCATTGCATTGGCCATCTGCTCACATCTGTGTTAAAAAACCAACACACACGCAGAGCCCTCAAACCACATTGACACCAACTGGATTTTTTGGGATATGAGTTCTGTACTCTACTACTAATTATTTAGACTGGAATATTTATTGTAACATGGATCCTATTAAAAGATTCTTCCCTCTAATAAAACTCTTAAATACCATTTTGAAATTTACCTCATTTATTTATTTGGGCTAAGATATATTAAACTGAAATATGATCAGATACTCTATAAGGGGAAGATGAGAATTCCTTAGTGCTATGTCTGTTACATTGTTAAACTTGGTATTAGAGAATTTTCAGAATGCAACTAACCAATTAAAGATGATGTATTTACAACACAGTTGGATTCCACATGTTTTTAATCTGCTTCAGTGTTTAGGTTTTCTGTTCTGATCTGGAGGAATATTTGTAAGCACTTTATTTTAAATGAGTTCTGCTCTTACTGTTATTGGTAGAACTGATAGTAAGCTTTTTCAGCTGAGGACAAAATACTCAAGATTGAGCCTTGCTGGGTCATTGTGTCTGTGCTGAAGGGAGAGTATTCCTTTATTCACTGTGGAATTAGAAACGCTTGAAACATAGCTTGTTCCGGTGCCATTCTGTAGGAATGGGTCCCCAGGGGAGCAAAAGACCTTTATAATTGTCTTTACAGATGTAGAGATAAAACTAGAGAATACTATCTGTTAATGTAATAACTAATGTTAGTGATGACAGGTTATCAAAATCCCTCTAATGCAGGGCATCTTCTGAAGTTCTTTCACAGTACAAAGCCATCTGTTGTCTTGGCTCAGCCTCTTTGTGTTCAGGATGTTCAAACACTGTCATAGTTAGACCAGCAGACTATGTTTCTTAAAGCCCACAATTACATTTAAATTATAGCCTTGAAGAGACTACAAAGTAAACATGTTGTTATGCAATCAACCAGAAAGCATACAAAACAGCTATCATAAGTTTGCTTACTCTGTAGTTGGATTTATTCTTTTTCTTTCTTTCTGCTAGTGCTCTGCATAGATGCCTGGCCAACCCCCTTCCCTCAGTGGAAAATCCACAAGCCATGAAAGTTAAACCTGACTGAACCACTTCATTCCTAATAGTTTGACATGAAAGCTGGAGGCACACACTAATGGTCCTCCTTTGAATAAGGAGAGCTAATTTGAACCACTGGGACCATTGACCTTTAATACCTTTTTGCCCAACTGTAAAATTGGTTTGGGCACTGTAGATGGGTCTTTTTGGTGATGTTATGCTTGACTTCCTGGGTCTTGTCAAGTTGCCTTGTAGTAAGGCATTAGTGTGGATAAACCCTTGTCTGTGCTTTGAGTGCAGACTCATCCCCCGAGAGCACGTTCAGAGGGTACTGCACTCCAGGGGTTAACATTGTTTATAGCGAGGCCTTTTGCTTCATCTGTCTAGGAGGCTATTTATTAATCAAGGCAAAAGAACCTAAGTAACCTCCCTGCATCTTTGCAGTTGTCAGTTCTACGAGATCCAGTGAAAATATTAATTTAAAATTGTTATTGTTGTTGTTAAGGTATGGACACTATGTAGAGGGGACAGGCTCAGTTCTGCAGACAGCAGTAGATGTACAGGTGAGTGTGTAGACTAACATACTAGAATGACTTGTTTAAAACTTGAGACTTGTTTCAAAACTTTTTTCCCTGTCTTCTCCTTTGATATTGTGCATATTGTAAGAAAAAAAGCTTTTTAAAGTACATTTTACGGCAACTGAGTTTCCAATTGGTTTACTTTGTGTTCCTAAACAGCACTTTGTTTAGACCACAATTATAAATTATATCTGTGCCTCTCTGTGGGGAGAATGTGAGTTGCTACTATTTTATTATTTGTAGTATCACACAGAGGTTTCACAGGGGTATATGAAAACATTTAGAATTACTAGTTCTATGCATAAACTACAGTACAGTGTTGTGAATCGAGGGCCATTCATTGTACACAGATGATCCAGTAAATATTGTCAAATGTTTAACGTGTTTGAATTTCAAAATTATTATTTGTCTGGGAAGAATATTTTGAAAAGTTCTACTGTTGATACTAAGTTCACCACAGAGTGGTATTTAGGCACTGGAGAAGGTAATAATAATTGTACTGCTGAATCAGCATTCAAAGATACCTTTCACAAAGCTTGTTTTGTATACAAGCACTTTCTCCTGCACTTTGGTGCTGTTCAGTAATATTATAGGGCATTTCTAAGCATAATAAGAATGCAGCTCTGGAATTCAGGATAATCTCAAAGCAAGTGTATTAAAACAGCTGCATCCATACAGCTTAATTTGTGTGAATGGTCTGCTGTTGAGTTCTATTGAGTCACTGTCCTGTCATTAACAAATGTTTATAGTTCTTTGATTGCCTCATTAACTATCGGTATAGCTTGGAACTGGAGGAAGAAATTATGAGCGCCCTTGTGGCAGCATTGATTTCTTTCTTGCAAGTCTGTGTGTTGAGATGTTTGCTGAAAAAATACAATCCCAATTACACTTTCAAGCAAAACATGCTATTGTCTTTGGCACTGTGATATTAAAGAAATACTCTGTTAAGATGTGACTGTAAATTTTACATATTTGGCCTGCATTGGTAATATTTCTTGTTTTGGGTATTCTTCATAGCTTGAATCAGTGTTTAAACATATTGAGGAGTTACCAGAAGAAGAGAAGCTTATGAAATTGTCAACACTAAAACTGAGGTACTTTACTCCAAGAGAAATAGCAAATCTTCATGGATTCCCTTTGGAATTTGGTATGTGCTGCTAAATATCCATTTCTACATCATTCTTCAGAGATGCCAATGTATTTTTTTTTTTACTAGGGACTAGTGCATTCCTTTTATTTTACAATTTTTTTTGACTCCTCAGTTCTTATGATTGATTTATTCTTGTAATTTGGCTAACTTTGAATTTCTCTGAGTTTCCACTAGTTTTAAATATTTTGAAAGAGCCAGCTTCTGTGGTTAGGTTTATCTTCACAAGCGAAGAGAAAAATTTTGGCATGAGAAGTGGTCTGTTTCTGAATCACAGTGAAGGAATACCTTTGTTTAAAGTTGAAACTGTTTGCTCAGCAGCCAGTGTTACTCACAACTGTGGTAAGTCAACATATCCTGCCAGCTTAGGAGGTCTGTTTGTGGTTCTCAGAGTTGGAGCTGCTTGCTTTCTCCGTTCCACACATTTACAGCTGCTGACAGGGAATTTCAGAAGATACAGATAGTTCTTTGTTCAGGAGTAACCAATCTGTTAAGTCATCTCTATTTTCTACAAAAGGCAACCCTAGCCCTTGATCAGTTACTTATTTTTCTAACTGGTTTTGTGAAGAAGAGGGAGTCAAGGAACAAGACTCAGCAGTACCAGTACACTGGATACACATCAACAACAATTAAACCTGAAATAAATTCATCAGAATTCTGCTTGTAAAGCAAGGTGAGCAGGAAAGTGTAGCTGTTACTATCTGCTAAGAAACTGGCCTACTGATATCACAGCAGATCACTTTATTGTCACTCAGCAACAAAAGCATCCATAGAATTGTAGAATCATAGGATGGTTTGAGTTGGAAGGGACCTTAAAGATCATTTGTTTCCAGCCCTGCTGCTATGTGCAGGGACGCCTTCCGCTAGACCAGGTTGCTCAGGGATTGAGGCAGCACTGACCTTGAGTAATTTGTTGTATTTTTCTTTGACTTCCTCAGTGACTTAGAGTTCTGAGGAGTGGAACTTGTTTCTCTATATTTCTTTCTTTTGCAGTTTTAGTTTGTCTTTTTGATACTTGTTATATTCAAAATTGCTACATTTGAAGAACATTATCAAGGCTGCACAGCGAAATGCTAGAGTTACCAGCACTGAGCTTGCTTGCAGGTGTGTGCTGTGTTGAGTTACATGCCAACATACAGTATTTTTTCATAGCCTCTCTTCTTTAATAGATGTGTTCTTTTTGGAGACAGCCTTTTTCATGGCACAACTCTGTTCTGTGTTGATGTAGCCTGATGTCAAGATACTTGAACTAAACAGAGTTGGATCGGGCTTGTATAGGCTTATCACGCTGTTCAAGATCTCTTTTGAGCACTGAATTGTTCATTTTCCTTTTTTTTTTTTTTTAAATACAGCTGGTGTTTTCCAGTGTTAAATTTGTCTCTGCAATATCACTGAGGTCAGTAGAGTTAACATTGCTTTTATTTTACAGAGGGAGAACTAAGACAATGGAGAAATTTATGTTTGTAAAACTGTTAATTTAGGGTGAGCAGTTTGCGAAACCTGCTATTTACTGTTTCATAGTGCTTGGAGTGATACCATGCTTTCTCTTCAGAGCTCATCTTCAGGGACAGCTGTCATGTTCAATACTTTTTCAAACCAGAACTGAACTCTCAAGAGAAGTCAGGCTTCTGAATTTGAGGACCATCCAGATCATCACCATCTTCAATGTGCTCATTTAGCAGACTTGTCTTTTGTCAGGCAGGAACTCTGGAAGGAAGGACAGGGACAGATTCCACCTGCCAGAGGGCAGTACCCTTCTGCCATAATTATGGCAGTTATTATTATAACTGCTTTACAGTTCTTGCAGTTCTCTGCCCTCTCTATACTATTTTTCCAACTTTCACAACACATAAAGCAGGCTTCTCTCATCCGGTGTCTTCCTCTCACATATAATCCTGATTCACAGGCAGAACAAGCCTACTCTGAGTCACAAGTCTGGCATTTCTTTGTGTTTAAAGCATTTCCCACTCTTTGCTTAAAAAAATGTTACTCAACTGTAGGCTGACTGAAATCTTTAGTAAATTTAGGTACTGTAATGTCAGTTTCTTTTGAGAATTTGCAAGCTGTGGATTTTTTTGAAAGAGGATATATTTATGGCTGCAGTAAAGGGTGTTTCCCTCACAGCATTTCTCCCATATTAAACTTCAACTCATTATAGTGAAACATGGTATTTTCAGAGGATAAATGTGCTATAATTTCTCTGCTCCTGTGTTCTCTAATGACAGCAACATTTGGGCTAAAATTTTCAACAGCAGAAAGCCTAGAGATGTACCCACTGCAAATATGTTGTTGGTCCAAGAAGCTAAAGAATGAGAAAACTATAAGCTGAAAACTACAGTGAACAGACTGTCAGGAGCTTTGTAACAGATGCTGTTACTAGCTGCAGCTGTAGTATCATCAGAAGAAATATGATTGTGCCTAAATTGTTCTGTATGATTGTGTCTAAATGGTTCTGTATTTTAACAAGTTGATGGCCTTTTCCCATATATGAGGTCCAGAGTTAAAGTAATTCTTTAATATCAGATTTATTTATGCTTTTAACATCTAATTACATAAATAGTAATTGCACTACAGTTCAATGAAATACTGCAGTCATTTGTCTTAGTCCCTCCTGTGGGTCCCACAGCAATATCATTAAAAGTGATCAGAGCATTCTTGCACCTGTGACCTGCTTTCATGAGGGTGATGTCAGGATGTGTTTCTTATTAGCAGTGTATGTAAGCTTTTAGGAAACAAAAGCCAGCACAGTGCAGTAGTCAAGACCACAATATTGTCCGGTAGCGTGTCCTAAACAGTACAGTGAGGGCTGTGCAGCAAGTGCCAGCATACTATGAGTTGTTGAATCTGACCTTCTGGTGAAGGCTACTCTTGAGCCAAGAAGATAGGCAGTGCAAGATAATGTTAACAGTCAGAGGGAGGAGGCTTGGAATAAAGGAAACTGTGAGATCTGAAAATTAATTCTTGGCCTTCAGTTGCCAAGAGGCAGAAGGAGAAACTATGAAATTCTCAGGGTTCAGATAAGCTTCTTGGGCTGTAAGTGCACATGCATGTGTGTGTGCATAAATACATATTTATTTTCATATACTCTTTTAAAATGTGCTGGTTCTGTACCTTATTCATTGATGGAATGTGAAAACTCCATCTAAGGAAGTGTGTATGGGACTGCAAGTGATTGTTCCAAAGAGAGAATGGTTGCCCAAATGTGAGTGCCAGGAAGCTAGGCAGAGTGGATGGAGCTGGCAGAAAATGTGTTTACCAAAGCAGTCCACATTCGAGGCATTAATAATTGGCAGAGAAGGATGGAACAACTCCTCCCAGACACCTCCTGCTCCTCAGAGCCTCCCTTGGCTCAATAACTGTCCAACCACATTCTCTCCTGAGCTGTCTCAAGAAAAGAATTTTTTCTGAAATGCTGTGAAAATTTCAGAACATATATATCATATCACTTTTTGCACAAACAAATGCATCCAAGCTAATTACAATGGTGATGACCTCAGAGTCAAAGTTAAGTGTTTCTTTTTAGGGAATGATCAAATAATTGAATGTGGTCACATTTCAGCAGCTTAGTAAATGTCCCTCACAGTTAAGTCACCACTGCTATTAGTCTTTCACTCGGGTTGAAGCAAATGCACTTTACCTCACAGGTGGAGTAAGGTAAGAGTACGAGCGAAAACAGTTAGAGCAGACCAGCTGGCTGTTGAAAACTTCATTCTCAGGAGCTTGGTCAGCTTTGACTGTGCACTCAGTACACAACACAGCCCTTTCACAATACCTGGACCATTTTAATTTTTTTCTGGCCCTCCCTTCTTTTTGCCGGTCCATGCACTTACCATGGTAAGATATTTCTGACACTGTCTGTATTTCTGAGTGTGTTTAATAGGGTCAGCATTGAATTACATGGAAAATTGTTCAGCTGCTTGATCACTCAATGAATAAGCCTTGCTCATAATTTAATCTGCTGGTGGTATATTGCACCGTGAGACTTGTGTGATTTGCCTGAACTGGTTATGGGGGCTCAGATGGGAAGTACAGTATAAAGCTTATTGGGAAGTGCAATTTAGTCTATTTGCAGAATCATCACATTTTCTTTCTGATGTTGCCGTGTTCTTTTGTGAATGTTCTCTAGAGCAGCAGTTGTGCAGTGGTTTAGGTGGCTGCTGCCCCTCCCTGATACTGCTGGATGCTTTGAGCTCTGTGAAGGGAAGGTATATCAGCATTAATTACACAACAGAGAAATGTTTTGAAGCCTTTTGTGAAAGCTTAGAGATGGCAGTTTTGCTAACAAAAGAACAGATTCAAATCCAATGAATTGGTTAGGACTTATTTTGTAACTTTATGAATTTTTTGGGAGGGGAGGGTGAACCATGCTGCAGCCTGTGATAACTGCATTAAGAACTGTTCACTGAAAAAAGGAGTAGACTGAAAACTAGGAACAAACCCAGACTAATGATGTTGCACTGTATGTTTTTGTTTTAGGCTTTCCTGAAAAAGTAACAATAAAGCAATGCTATCGTCTTCTGGGAAACAGCCTCAATGTACATGTGGTGGCAAAATTGATCTCCATTCTACTTGGATAATTTAGAACCTGAATCTGACGCATATGGACTGGTGACAGAAAATACTTCCATCTTTCAAAAGAAAGATGATAGAAGCTGAACAAAAATCAGAGCTTACCAAAGTATATGTCCATGCATTTTGCTGAACAGTTCTGATATTTTTAATGACTTGCTTTCATGATGGATTTGAACTGTAGAGGTGTTTTATTTAAATGGACATTTCCAGGACTTGATTGCTTTATTTAAATGTCCTTTTTACTTTGCAAAATGAAAAGGGGCAGCATTTACAAATACTTCAATTAAATTGGATAAGACTACTTTATTTTATCTTAAAACCATTTTCTCATTATGGCATGAAAAGGCTCTAAGTGTCAAAACCATTTTAATTAAGTGCAGAGACCAAGTTCTATGTGTAAAATGTCTTCATCTGTAAATATGAGTTTTCCATTCTGAAAAGATGTGCTGTATATATGTTCTGAACTTTTGATATGCTTTTTGTAGCTCATGAAACTGTTAAATTCAGTATTTTGTATACAATTTTTAAGAAGACACAGTGTTATTCTTTAGGGTTGTCTCATCCTCTCTAAATACTTGTAGGATTCTGGAACCCAACTCTATCTGTCTGGAATGATTTGCTTAGGTGCAGCTGAATAAAAATATTTCAAGATTATCACAACCCTGACAATAACTTGCCTGTTTCTGTTCTCACATTATTCAGGATAAGATCATTGCTCCTTACCAAATAAAATACATATATACATATACATATAAATCATTGCTCCTTACATATAAAAGACATTAAAAAAATTTAAAAGCTCCGTGTTTAGCTTTCTATGGCATAAGAACTGGAGAAAAACTATAGGGCCTGCTTCTGAAAATTTCTTTATGCAACTTGATAGTAGTATTAGATGGGTTTAAGCATATCTGTTGAGATGACACTGCTGCATATGGCTATCCAGAGTGCCACCATTTTACACCACCTCACAGGCTGGACTGAATAGTTTTTTAATCAAGTCTCGTGAGTTTAATGTCTCTGAAGTAATAGAGAAAATGATGGGAAAACTGAAAGCCCTCTAAAGAGGCATGTCTTTTCCGGTTGTTATTTTCCCTTACAGATAATATGATATTGGAATGTAGACCAAAGAAAGCTTGAGGGAGAAAAAGGTGAAATGATACCTAGTAAGCATCCTTCGGGGAGCTGATGTGCCACAAACCAGAAGAATTTTGTGAATTGACTGTCATTCCTGTGCACCAAAGCACTAAAAGTTCCCAATCCTGAAAAAGAATGATTTTTCTTCCCCTCTCTCCCCTCTGGCCCATGGGATGACATTGGAAGAGTCATGGTGCGTTGCATCTGGGCTTGGTAATGTAGGAGAAACTGAAGGCCATACAGAATAGAGCTGCTGTAGAGATGCTGCAGCTACTCTCATCTGCTATAGTCCTGAAAACCAAAATGAGTTTGTGTTGGTATTTTTTGTCATACTTTATCTTATGTTGACTCCTGTGTATTTCTTCGTCAGTCTTGGACTGTTCCAGCTGCAAAAGAGAAATGGAACTCTGGACTAGGCTTTAGAGAAGGGTGAGATTGGCCTCTGTCTTTTCCTGGTCACATGTAGTACTGTACTAGGCTGATGTTTGTCTGTGCTGGCTCCTAAACTGCTAAGAGCAGGTGTGGTTCTGACAGTGAACCACAGGGATCTGTTCACACAGTGGTTATTGGGTAGATTTATCAGCCAGATCCATAACTAGTGGCCATATGGTCTTGTTCTTGGGAGAAATGTGGTAATGCAAAGATCTGTTGTTTTCTAGCATGATCCAAACATTGGAAAGAAAACAAAGGATATCAATTTTATGTATAAATTGGAATTTCTTTCATATAAACCATGTAAACAAGCTGTTAATTTTGCCTCGCTATAATAATATTTGGCAAAATATTACTATTAACAATTAATTTTCAAATCTTTAAAATGTACAACGTATTTTAATGATTTATATGCCACTCGTAAGCAAGCAGTATTAAAGTATAAGTTGAATCTTGCTGCATCTAAAACTGATACAGTAGTACAGCCTGTTATAAGTTGACAGTGAATTTTAGTTCAGTGTGATTGTGAAGACTGAAATTTGTTTGCTAATCCAAGATGTTTCTGAAGGAAATACTTTGAAAGAACAGATTTCAGAGTTGTAAATATATGTGTATTTTACCCCTGCTAACCCTGTAATACCAGTGCAGCTAAACTGAGCCACTGCTTCTTATCCCCTTGGTTTGTCATTAATGAACTGGTTTACTGGGCTCTGTTGGGTTGTACCTGCTTGACCTCACTTGATGATCGTGTTGCTTTCTTTTCCAAGCAGTCTCCTAATCCTAAGTGCTTTGCAGTCTACATCAGTGCTGAACTTTGCAACTTCAGCTTAAGCATTTTCACAGCAGTGATTACAAAAGCAGATGAAAGGTGAAGGAGTGAAATCTGGAAAAAAGCTTTGGAAAGGGAAGGAGATTTCCAGAATCTGGTTTTTGGGTTTGTAGCTCACTCGTGGTGCACATCTGAAGCATGTGTCATTATCTGGGTGAGATGACGTGGTTGCGTTCCCTCAGACTTGAGAAGTTCCACTGAAAAAAAGGATGTCATATGGTTATGTGGTGTTATGTTGATGCAGTCATTTTTGAAGCTTGCCAATTGCCTTAGAAAATGTCTTCCCTACATCAGCTGGTTTCTATCTGAGTTAATCCGGGATTTCCCCACACTCATGAAGAAACCTGTCTAGCAGCAAAGTTACTAAAATACCATTTGTTTAACACAGGGAGTTTGAATATTTTTTGATACTTGAACTCAAAGTTTTCTAATGGAGGTGTATCCTTCAATGCAGTGAATGTAAGGCTCCTGCCCAGAGACTTTTTTATCTCACATTTTACTAGCCCTCATAGAAGAAGTATAAGGATTTTCAGGAATCTCTGTGTCACAGGCTGGGAAAACATTGATCAGTGATAACACTATGGTATGTCATAAACTTAGTCAGGGGTAAGCCCATTTTGGTTTTGACAGAGACATTTCAATAGAAATCTGAACAGGCCCAGTGCTTTGATAACTCTACAATTCCGTGTAGCGGTTGTCATGCATATCTAAAATAAGTAGAAAATTCAGAAAATACTTGTTACATCTCAAGGATTCAATTCTCAGCTCACCCTTCAATATCGCTCCTCCAAGTTCTTGCTCTTCATACTAAAGTTTAACACTTGGCTTATGGTATAAATACTGAATTATATTTCTTTTCCTTATGTGTTTTGTCTTGTATGTGTTTCCAGCCTCTTAAGTGTTGTATGATTTTCTGTGGTGTTTAAACAATATTAAACATATTAGTAAGGATTTGGAGGACACAAATTAATAATTGGTTAAGAGCACTAGGCATTTCTGAGCAGTCTTATATAATTACTGTATAAAGTAGAACTGGTCAAAGAAATATCCAGGGAGAAATAATGTGAAAGCATAAAAAAACTAGACATGAAGCCCAAAATAATTCCATTAGCTGTTTTCCTTTTGCTGTGCAAACATGAGTGTTCTAGTGTTGCAATCTTATTAGGGGGAATTCATGAGATACTGAGTAGTGATAGTATGTCACTTTAAATGTTATTGTGAAGAGCATGAAGAGATCTGTGTTATTTTTATTTTTAATTGATTACAAGTTTAGGGGAATTTATACAACTATTGAAGAAAAGAAATACATGGCCTTAGGGGACTAGGCAGCCATCTGTGAAGGCAAGAAAACTGGGTTGTTCTCTTTGACTTTCCTCGACCTGGTCCTTTTGACAGTGGGAGGAAGCTGGACAAAGGATCTTTTGGTAAGAGCTCTGGTGAAGCAAGAAGAGGAGTTGGAAGGGTTTAAATCAAGTGGAACAGACCACTTTTAGTGAGAGAGGGTTGTTGGATCAAATGTCAGAAGGCCACTCTGGTAGGATACCCTTCACTAGGATTCAGAAAACTTTGCAGCGAAAGGAGTCCCTAATAGTTCCTCCAGTGGTGAACCTCTCTGATTTTAAATGCAGGAATACATCCTGAAATCCCAACTTCATTGAGAGCAGGTTTGTCATGTGCTTTTTTCCACGCACTGGCCTGTTGTAACTCAAATATTTTTAAATTACCACTTGGCATTTGGAAGCAAAGCATGTTCATGGTACTGATATATTTTCTTATATGTAGATAGTAATAAATAGCTTTGCTTAGTTCAAATGTTTGCTCTGTATATATTTGTAAAAATAAACTAATACCATTCTGTTTATAAATAATACACTTAAAAATGGGATTCTCCTCAGAATTGCTATTTCTGATTGGCATTTTTTCTGTATATTGACCATATTTGCTCATTCTTTGTACATGTAAGGTAAAGCATGGGGCGAAGGAAAAGACTGGACAAGTTCATAGAAGAAAACTCCTTTGAGAGCACTGACTAAGGAGGCTTCTGACTGAAGAAGTGCATGCGCTGAAAATAATTGGAGGCCAACAGAGTACCTAGGAGAGGTAGTGTTTGTGCTTTCCCCTTTGTGTACCTGTCATTTCCTATCTGCTCTTGGCCACTGTTGGAAACAGGGTACTGACCTAGATGGATGTTTTTCTAAGTATGACCATTCTTACTTTCTTACATTTTTGTGGTGACAGAATGCCAGTACTTGTAATCAAAGCATCAACACAGCAAATGGCTTTGCACGCTTAGCTCAGATCTAAGCTTCTCAATAAAAGCCAACAGTACAGAATAGAATGAATGTAAGGGAGGTTGTGCAGCCAGGTCCATTCATGGCTCTAGGGTTATTTATTAGTGAAGAAGGGTGACTATGCAAATGGAAGTCCCTAAAAATAACCCCAGTGTTAAAGCAATTGGAATGTGTTAAAAGGGCTGGAATAATCAATAGAAAAGAACAAAGCCAATATAACTGACTGGAAACTTTTCATGAACCTAATTTCAAAAAAGAATGAAATGAAAAATAGGAAGCATCAAAATGGTTGGTGGTTTGTAGAAATAAAACAAAATATGTAGGAAGAAAAATCAGAAAGACAGAACCAAAATACAAGTCTCCTAAGGAAGGTAAAAACTGTTAAAGTAAAAAAGTGTTAAAACTGCCTTCATCGTGATAAAGGAATCCAGGGAGAACTGGGACAGTAGATCAATTTGAGCTGAAGTAGGTAACTAAATCAAACTCTTATCTTTGTCATTTGCTATTAAACACTGAAAAACTCAACTTCCTGGCCACTTAGTTTAAGTTCATTAGCAGGTAACTGATGAACTTCATTAACTGTGTTGAGGGGGCAGAATCTTAAGCAGGTGTCAGGGGGCAGAATGCTGAGAAAAAATAAATCCTCAAGGAGGGGTGTGGGAAGTTGAGGCTTGCAGCTGCTGCAGACCCTGGGGAAGGTGCTGTGGCCATAAAACTCTCCAGAAGCTCGTGAAGAGAAGGAAGGAGGCAATGATAGGTGGTTATAAGTAAGGGACAGAAAGAGGAATGTTATTTTTCAGAGTCATCCCTGTTTGATGTAAACCCTGTGGTTGTTGATCCTCTGCACAGGGTCCGATAGCAGCTTAGTGCTTGGTTGTCTCAGAGCTGTAGGGACACACACGAAGTGCTGAGTTAATACAGAGCATGGCTTACACCATGAATATACAAGGAACAATTGCACATTTGTACCATGCAGGTAACAGTGC